CGGCCGATAACAGCCCAGTCTTCGCGTCAGCCGAGACTCAGGAGTACGCCGAAATGATGGGGATCAAATTGGTTCACTCAACACCTTACTACCCTCAGTCTAACGGACAGGCCGAGGCAAGCAACAAGGTAATCAAGGGCATCCTTGAGAAAATGATCGAGGAAAAGCCTAGGGCTTGGCCCGACTTACTCCCTGAAGCTCTTTGGGCTTACCGAGTCTCAAAACGCTCGGCTACTGGCACGTCTCCTTATGCTTTAACCTACGGTCATGACGCCATCGTTCCAATGGAGTTAAGGGTTCGGTCTCTCCGTGTGACCGAGCGGCCTGGGCAAGAAAGGAAGGACTACGCGCAAGCCATGGCTCAGGAGTTGGAAGATTTAGAGCAGTCCAGGCTCGATGCTTATAACCTGATGCAAGCACAAAAGCAGATTGCGGCGAGAGCCTACAACAGAAAGGTCAAGGAAAAGACGTTCGCCGAAGGCGACTTGGTTTGGCGAGCCGTGCTTCCTATCGGGACTAAGGATCCTCGATTCGGCAAATTCTCACCCAATTGGGAGGGGCCGTTTGTTATCGAATGAATCCTCGGCCGAGGTGCTTTTCAGTTGAAAGATAGGGATGGAGAATGACATAACTTGCCAATAAACGGCCAGTACTTAAAAAAATATACCCCGTCATTATGGGAGACGGCCGAGATCGAGTTGTGAGATTTACAAGTAACAAATGAATGAAGTAAACGGCACGACGAAGCTAAGAGGAAAAGCATGCATTCAAACAGTAGGAAAAGGAAGTTATACTTCATTTAGATTAAAAGAAAGGGGGTCGCGTTTACAAAGGAACGGCCGGTCGTGGCCGATTGGAAAAAAACATATAAACGTACATATGTGAAATACAGATTACTTCCTAAGTCTATGAACGACGGCTTCTTGATCCCCTCGCATAAGAGGCAGATGATCCTTCCCTAGGCGATGTCTCCGCCGTCCACATCTTCACCAACCGCTGCCCCACCACGGTCGTTACTCTGGAAATTGGGGTCATAGTATGGCCGAGGCCGTCACTCTGGGCACGGGTGCAGCCGGGTTGAAGCCAAGGCCGTCACTCTGGGCACGGGTGCAGTCGAGTTGAGGCCAAGGAAGTCACTCATGCCATGGCCAAGGCCGTCACTTTGGGCACGGGTGCAGCCGGGGTGCAGAACCCACGATCAGGGGGGCGGCCGAGATTTACCGGGATTTATGGGGTTACACCACCATGCTTCAAGATCCCAAATGTTGATTGGACTACCCACTTGCTTTGATCAGGCTCCACCATGCAGATTTTTAGCCTTGATTACTCCTCCAGAGCTCTTCCTATAAATACCAAGCTCGAGCTACATTCAAAGGGTTCAAACACCAAACCAAAAGCCTTCCACGGAGCAAATTATATTTTCCTGTAATGCACTTTCAATACCTTTACTTGCTTTCCTAGGAGTAGTGATAGATTGTAAGGAAAATCCATTCATCAATATATCATACGACCCTTGATTTTCAAGGCGCCGGAGCACTATCTCTGTTACTCTCTCATCCACCCCATATATCATACGACCGTCGCTCTCTGAGCAACGCGCTGGAGCACCGCCCAAAACCCACCACCAACACCACCGCCAAACGGCCTTGTAGCTCAGGCCGTGAACCTGACGGCCGAGATCAGTTCCTCTCTCGGCCACAATCGTTTGATTAGAAGTCGAACTCAAACAAGCGCACCACTTAACCATTTTATCCAAACACTTCACTCTCTCAACGCACGGTAGACCGTGCTGGCATGCCCGTGCACAACTGCACCGCATCCAAAAGAAGGACGTCACGTGTTGACGCATATCCCCTCGGCCCGGAGCACCAGGCCGTGAGATTTGCGCAGCCAACACCTTGAACATAACCTGAAATCATCGTCATCCATGAAATCAAGTTCCTCTCTGTCATCTGGTCAAACAGGCACCTAGCAACATGTATTTGATTAGATTTTACATAAATTAGAGGGTACCAGTACCCAACAACATCACTTGAAGAACTAAAATAAAATACATGGGCTCTTTGCAGCAATTGAGAGATACTGCTCCCGGAGAGAGCGCATCTTGTGTTACAGATAAATTTTGGCTCAATAGAAGAAGTTGGAAGTGGATTTGATGGTGCTTGTTAAGGCTAAATACATAAGGTTAGAGAAATCTTAGAAGGAACCAGAAAGACTAAACAAAATCTTGTTTAAAAAAGAAAAAGAAAATCAGCTAGTGTGGCTGATGAGCAGGAAACATTGGTTAATGAGGACCAATACGAAATGAATTTCAATTTACCAGAACATATCGTACTTGCAAAATGTTCCCAGTTGATAGAGACAAAGACAAACAGTCCTACCATTCACAAACATGATCAATGAAAAGGGTTTTAATAACTGAATTTGGACAAAAATCAGTAAGTGTAGACACCGAGCAGGTCATTGGTTAATGAGGACAAATACTTGAGAAAAATAAATTTATGTCACCAGAACTGATCTTACTTCCAAATTGTTTTCAATTGGTAGAGGAAAAGGAAAATTTTCCTGTGGTTCCCAAACATGATCAACGAAAAGAGTCTTAATGACTGGATTTGGACAAGGGTCTTTACACTGTTAATGCTGCCAATTCAAGCTGTCAAGTTAAACACACAAGTAAGTGTCTCTCCCCATTACAAAAAACAGAAAGTGACTAAATCTTTTACTAAATATGAGAATAACAAGTACTCTCTCTCACACACAAACGCGCACAAGCATATGTATGAACATATGCAATCACAAAATAGAAAGGAAGACCAAAACTAGAGAGGAAGCATTACCTTTGGTTAATGAGTTTATATAATCTATGACTTTTGATGCTAGGATACTTCAGTTTGCCACGGAAAACTGGATTTGCCTCAATTATTTGCCTGAGTTTTTTCATCATATTCTTCCTCATAAACATTATATCTCCACACATGGAGAGTGCCTTATGATCCCCGTTGGATTGAACCCATATACATGTGATGCATTTCTTTGAACAGCTCCTCATTACCTTTGGCAAAAACTTTGAGATCCTTCATGAGGATATCTAATGCCTTGGCGCGACAATTGCTATCAAGAATGAACCAAAAACATGCAGAACATGGTAATTTTTTTTATAGAGATTGTTTATGTAAAGATTATAAGAAGCTGAAAAAAAAAAATAATGATGTTCTCACTTGTCAATGGGCTCAAGGAAATTTTGCTTTCTGATCTGGAAATGGATCTTCGTCGAGTAGCGATTGTTATTTCTATTTCATAGTGACATATTGGAGACATCAAATCAAGTTGAGAGGAAAAATAGATCTTCGTCATAGACATGCGGCTTATTGTTTAAGGAGTACAGCCGGGCGACAATACTTTTTAACTATATTATTTAAGGGGTACAGCCGCGCGGCAATACGTTTTAAATATATTATTTCAAGAGTATAGCCGATCGGCTATACTGTTTATAAAATAAAGTAAAAAGGACCGCCTAGCCCGCCTAGGCGGCCCATTTTTAGAAAACTTGAATGGCGTTTTTTTTCTTCAGATTTCTTTTTTCCTGTCTGGTCTGGCGTCTCTCTAAATACATCAAGCTTGGGTTTTAGCGACTCACGTTTATCAACAACGTAAAGGCATCTCTGAAAATCAGCAACGTTCCAAGCCTGAAACCTTGGAAATTGGCAGAGGTTAAACCCAGAAACTAGTGTCTTGTGGGGGGAAGGGATTGGGTGAATATAGTGTTGTTTAATTAATGTTTTCTATTCCACAATGCAGGCTGCATCCTTCAAAGAAAAGATTAACCGAATGTTTGGTGGAGAGCATGGCCCATAAAGAGTGGCAGTATTCCGTTTCTGAAAATTATTTGTGGCATATATAATTTATTATTTATTATCAGAGGATGGATGATTCGGGTATAAGGGTATTCTATTAATTTGTTTTCCTCTGTGTGCAGTCTTGCAAACGTTGATCCTATTGATGTAGCCAGAAATATTGCAGGGTTAAACCCAGAAACTACCCTCGGTAAGCATTAAGTTTATTTATATCACTAAATATTGACTCTTGTAATCTTAAGCTCTATGTGGGGTTTCTTATCGTTCATTCATATTCTTTTGATATTTGCAGTTGTGGTAGTTTTGAAGACCTTTACAACAGCTGAAACTATGTTGAATGTTCAAACCCTTCGGGAATGGATTTCGTCTTCTCTCGGGTTAGTGCACTGCTAGCACTTGTTCAAGTATACGAACACGTTGTTTCAGTTCAGGATTTGCTTAATAATATTTGGGTTAATTTAAACAAACGTGAATGAGCTTGGGAGTGGGCGAAATGAATCATATTTGGAATAGCTTGGGAGTGGGCAAACGTGAATGTACGTTTAAATAATGTATTTGGGATAGCCGATCGGCTATACTTTTTAAATAATATATTTAAACAGTATAGCCGCCCGGCCATAACCTTCAAATATGTTAATTCAAGAGTGTAGAGTATAGCCGTTATAAAACAAAATAAAAAGGACCCGGCTAGCCCGCCTAGGCGGCTGATTTTTGGAAAACTTCAATGGTGTTTTTTTTTTCTTCAGTTTTCTCTTTTCCTGGCGGGTCTGGCATTTCTACAAAACATATCAAGCTGGGGTTTTAGCGACTCACGTTTATCAACAACGTAAAGGTTAGTTCTTCCCAACAATTTACCCTTTTTTTTTCTGTGCATTCTTTAAGCTGTGGTCTTAGAGTGAATTCGTTTGAAATTTCTCAAATTGTCGATAGCTCTGAACAAGTAGTCGAGTTGTTAAGATTGGAGCTTTGTGATAAATATTGCTCTTGCCCTCTTGTTTGTTGATAGAATGACTGGCTGGGTGAAGGAGCTTTTGAGGAATTATTGTAACAAGAATTTCAGAAATTGAGGTCTCTTGTGGCTTTTGGAATATTATTTTCTCTCCATATTATGAGATTCGATAGATTGTTCTTTAAAGAAATATCCATTATTGAATAGATTCCCTGTAGATATGCCATCATTATGCAAAATCTGACTGAGAGGCTTAGGCCCCTTTTGGGTTTGAAAGGCTAGGATTATTGTGTTATTTGGAAATTGAGTGAAGACCAAAGGTTAAGAGGAACCTTTTAATTAACAGTTACGAATTCATGTTTCTTTTTGTGAATGAGTTTTAGATTGGCTAATTTTTATTTTATTTTATTATTTTTTAGGTTTATTGAGTTGATGGATTGTTGTTTTTCTGGGGCTGATGAGAACACTCCGACTAATGTAGGAAATGAACTTATTTTTCCAGTTTATCCAGTCCTTCCATGCAGAGATACAATGCAGCACTCAAGAACAAATTCCTGTGATCTTCTTGCCCAGCTTCCTTCTTCTCTGTCCTTAGACTCTGGGTATCTATATATCCTTTTCATTTTCGCATTTTTGTTTACTCATTCAATCATAATTACCAATTACCATACATATCTTGACAAAAGAAATTAATTAGTGTTTTTATATCATTAACCATGGGTGCTCATGAGCAGGATTTATCTTCTAATAGAGATTCAAGTGCCATGGCAGTTAGCTCAAGTTCCCATTTTTCCTAGCTAGTTCCAAAAGAAAGTCCTTTTCTGAACATATAATTAAATGTAACTATATATTTCTACTTACATTTTGCAGGAAAGAGATGGGACCAGAGTTTTGGTTCCAAGTGCAGGGGGTTGATTGAGCTGTTTGTCTCCAAAGATGTATGATATTTTATGATGTTTCACTCAAACCTTGCATTAATTTCTTATGTTCGATTTGAAATTTCATTTTGGTCACATCTCACAAATAGTTTTTTTTTTGTGGTAACTGTCATATTCACAGGTCTCTGATGACCAACAATTGATTGATTATATCACAGCCCAATGCAACATTTCACTGGAGCAAGACACCCTGCTTGGTGTTGGCTGCAATACAAGCTTCCCTGTCAATATAAATGACATGAGCACTGAAATACAACCACAGCCCTTTCCAGGCAATGAGAATGAAGGAAATGATCATCTAAACAGTAATCATTTCCAGCAGCCGCCTGTTGTTTCCCCAGTGGATCATGATTCGAATGTGCCATACAACATATCATCAGTTGATCGAATCCTTCTCTGCAGCACGTCTCCAATGAATGTCCTGCAACATGTCACTTACAACTCAGAGAATAGCATGAAGAACGTCCTTGATTTTGTGAGAATTGATAATGCCCTTGTATTTGATAGAGGTCATGTGTTGAGCTGAACACGAATGATCGTCAAAAATTTCATCTTTTCTATATGGTTTTGCATGTATAGTTGATGTCTTGTATGATTCTTAATTGTAGATAAAGGATGGGATTCATTGCTTAGTACCAACGGATGGCAAGACCCTCAAGGTCGATGATAAGAGCAATGATTTTTTAAATTTGTACAGATGGCAAGACCCTCGAGGTCGATGATAAGAGCAATGATTTTTTGAATTTGTATTTTAGTATTTTTTCTGATGTGAAAATATAGTAGCTAATATTACTATAGAATGTTATGTAATAATATTTCTTCAATTCTTATACCAGTTGTTGTACGAGGATCATTGGCAAATATATCAATCATATTGAAGAGATACATATATATATGGTGCTTCTCGTACCCTTTAAACACATTTGAATTTTTTAAAAGTATAGCCGCACGGATTGATATATCTCATAGCAGAAGAGCAGGGTTGTCAAGTGCAATAAGAAAGGCTTTAATTGGGTTTAGTTCATAATTACGATGGATACAATTTAAAAAGTAAATTCCTATACAAGCAATTTTATACTATGAAATTCAATATTCTATGATCCATAAAATGTTGGCAGATCCCTTTTTGTTGTTGTTGGTATTTATGGGTTTAACCTGTATTATTTGTTATAAATAGAATTCATTTTTTATTCTTGCCCAGTGGGCTAATAGCTGGAAATCATTATAAGCTTGAAATATAATATATTCGAATATTTTAAAAGTATAGCTGATCGGCTATACTCTTTAAATATATTTGAAACGAACACGAAGCTTGCACTCGCAGAGGACGGAGGTTGCAGTCGAGGTCATAGCCATTTCACTTCTCTATCAACTCAAGCTTCGATTTGTTTTCTTCAGTTTCAGCTACTTAGTCCTCTAGGTTTGGCACCCAAAAAAGAACCAACCTGACTAGGAGGCCGGCCAGCCGCCTAGCACCTGCCTAGCCACCTATTCGCTAGCCTAAACCAATTTTTCGAACACTACGATTGACTGAAAGTCTGAAACCTGAAATTGAAAAAGTTTAGCTGCTAATTTGAGTTTGAGATTGAGATTGGGAAGCCGAAGCAAGCACAAGTCAGGTCCATAGAAGAAGAGATCATGAGATTCTTAATTCATCTAATTCCATTCCTCTCCCTGTTTCTCGCCTTATTCTCTTCTCTCTAGGCTCTTGTAACGACCCGGTCCTAAATTTATAATTAATTACTAAATTATTAAAGAAAAAGACAATGTTACCCCTGTTGAGGCCCAAAAAAAATCATAGGACAGGCCCATGCATATTTTAAAGCCCAATCGCTATCATGCTATAAAAATGGCCTAGCTGATGCACACATGCCATGCCAAGCAAGGTTACAATTTGGCACGCGGGGAGGCAGTGGTATGAGTTTACCACTTTCACATGCAAACTTGTAAGAATTACAAGGTTTCGTAGGCCCAAGCCCACTTAGCCCACTGCACTGACAAGCATTATCTAACGCAAAGCCTGAGCCACTGCAATACGACATAGCCCGAGCCACTGCAAATACAATATAGCCCAAGCATAAGCACACGATAACGTGCAATGCCAAGCAACTCCCTGTTGTGTCAAAACTCGCAACAAGCCTAAGTGGGCCCAAGCCACTTAATTATACGCATGGGGCTTGCTTATTGGTTTGTGGTGTGGATGGTCACAAGTTACACAAGGCCCATTGATGGCTCAAAAATAGAAGCTTTGGGCTGGGCACCAAAGCCAAGCCCATTTTCTTGAGTCATTAAACGGGTGAGCAGAGAGAGAAAAAACCCAGCACCAGTTCTGAGCGACCGGTCGCCAGTACTGGGCGACCGGTCTCTTTTGCACAGAGTCGAAAACCCAAAACAGCACAGCTGGAGCGATCGGTCGCCCGTCACTAGCGACCGGTCTCTGAAGACTCTGCCTAAAAGCGACCGGTCGCTGGCACCTTGAGACCGGTCGCTGGTCACGATTTCCAGCTTCTTCGAATCTGCTTCAAAACGACCGATCGCTCATCCCTTGCGACCGGTCGCTCCCTCCGACCTACCCTTATCCCACCTAAATACCTACACAACAGCAAAACAAAGTCCTGTGGCAAAAACAAGGTCCTGCGGTAAAACAAAGTCCTGAGGCAAAAACAAGGTCCTGCGGTAAAACAAAGTCCTGCGGCAAAACAAGGTCCTGCGGTAAAACAAAGTCCCTACGGC